AGGAGCAGAGGAGGAGGACCAGGAGGCAGAGGAGGAGGACCAGAAAGCAGAGGAGGAGGACTAGGAGCAGAGGAGGAGGGCCAGGAGCAGAGGAGGAGGGCCAGGAGCAGAGGAGGAGGACCAGGAGCAGAGGAGGAGGACCAGGAGCAGAGGAGGAAGGCCAGAAAGCAGAGGAGGAGGGCCAGAAAGCAGAGGAGGAGGACCAGGAGCAGAGGAGGACCAGGAGGGAGAGGAGGAGGACGAGGAGGACCAGGAGCAGAGGAGGACCAGGAGCAGAGGAGGACCAGGAGCAGAGGAGGAGGATCTGCAGTAGAGGAAGAGGTAAAAAAGGAGAAACAGGGTGGGGGTAGAGAGGAGGAGGAAGTGGAGGAGAAAACAGAGGGGAACCCTCATGAGTGTCAGAGCAGAAGCTCAATGTTTCCATTTCACAATTGCGATTTGCCTGTCAATTCCAAACAGTAGTAACTTTACACACAAACAAGAATGTTGCTGTTGTTTGTTTGAAGTTAGAACCAACTCGTAGCTGAAGCTCCAGCTGGTTTTCAGATTTCAGCAGGAAATCGCATGGGAGGAATTTGCTCCTCCTTTTCTGCAGAAGCGGTGGCGGATCGTACCTCATGCCTTCGGGTTGGTCGTGCAGCTCCTCACCACTAAACCCACCAGAGCTCCCTATCCAACCACCAAAGACATAATAATACATCGCCTTTCTGAACCTGTTGACTTTCGTTGTAACTTAAAAAAAAAAATAAATAGACAAGTGCCATACATTCATTTTAGAATTGTCAGGTAAACAACAGGAAACACAAAGCAATCATATACAATCCCACTTTGAAACACCACCATTCACAATCGGCTAAGGCACCGGGGTGTGATAATAGATTTGTCAGGCTGCTGACTGAACGGTTGTTGGGTTTCAAACCCACCGACATCTCTACAGGAGACAGATGAGACAGTCTGCCTCTGTTGACATTTCCAGCCTCAGGAACCTGGCAAAAAAGCTGTACTACTCTGTCCCTATCATTGCTAAGAGTAGAAATTGACTCACTCAAGAGCAGTAAGGTTTGGGTACTAGTTATTTCTCTCTCTGTTGCAGGAATGGCTTCATTGGATCCCAGTGTAAGCCATTAAAGGAAATCAACTTATTGTCCCTGAGCCTGAACTGACTCTTGGCTGATCCTCCAGGGAGTTTGTGAGGCTGCAAATCTCACAACTAGACATTACCCGTCTTTCTTCTTCAGAGGATTCAACCCACCAGCCAGCTGCAGCCTTCGGGTTAGTGGTGCAGCTCCCTGCAGACAAGGCTACCAGAGCTCATTTACATAAACAATGGGAACTTTCTTGGGGGGACGGGTAACAGAAGAGCGCCACCTTCACAGAAGGTATTTCTGCACACTTTGATCTTTCCCTCACTCATCCAGAATCTCTTCTATAAGGAAGGGTGAGGAGGGCAAGCAAAATACCAACTAGAAAGATCAGTCCTTAAGTTATAAAAAAAGGCAATGTTTACAAATGAATTAATAGCAAACACTTTAAATGATCTACATTGATTCTGAATGTCTTCAGAAGGCAGACTAATCAGGCTAAGCATATATACACTCCCTGGAAATCTGGAAAGATCCATCATAAAGGGAGTTTTGCTTACGAGATAGAATAGTTGGAAGGTATCCCCTGTGACACTAAAACAAATTGTCTATTTAGTAGGGGTGCAAAAACCAGCCATGTAGTCAGCCCGGCGTGGGCTGGGAAATTATCGAGCAGCTATTTATCATGTATTACGAAAAAGCAGGCTATGACTAAGTAAATCTACTTTTTAATTGTAGTTAGGTGCCATCAAGTTGAGAATGACCCACAGCGACTCTATGAACAATGGATCTGAACCGTGTCCTAGCCTGTGCCGTCCTCATCATCTCTAACACGCTTGAGCCTATTGCTACAGTCACCATGTCAGCCCATCTCTCTGAGGGTCTTTCTCTCTTTTGCGGATCCTCTTTTCCAAGCATAATGTCCATTTCCAAGGAATAGCCTCTCCTAGCAACATGCAGAAAGTATGTAAGACGAAGCTTCACCACCTCTCCTCCGAGGTGCACTCTGACTGCATTGTTAACAGAACCTGTTTGTTCTTTTGGTAGACCATGTTGGAGGAGTACCACTTAATCACATAGACATTCCCTGGAAATCTGGAAAGATCCATCATGGATGGAACTTTCAGGACTCTCCAAAGTCCTGAAGAGCAACGATGTCAGTCTAAAGACTAAGGTGTACTTCATTCAGGCCACAGTCATTCCAATCACCTGCTATTTATCTGAGACCGGGACAATGAATAAGGATAATAAAAGAAGATTTGAGGGGAGCTCTGGTGGCCTAGTGGCGAGAAGCTGCACTACAATCCCAGAGGAGCACGGTTTGAATCCACCAGATGCTCTGCCGGGAAAGGAGGGACAATCTCCTCCTGTACCAGTCAGATCTGATTTGACAGTACACACACACACACACACACACACACACACACACACACAAATAATAAAATAAAAATTTAAAAAAAGAAGATTTGATGCATTTGAGTTGTGGTGCTGGGGAAGAGTACTGAATGGAATGTCAAAAGGAAAAAAATATATATGTTGAAGAAAGTACAAACAAGAACATTTCTTGGAGGCAAAGCTGATGAAGCTTCATCTCACATATTTTGGACATGTTGTTAGGAGAGGTTATTCCTTGGAAAAGGACATCATGTTTTGAGGGTCAGCAAAGACCCTCAATGAGATGGATTTATGCAGTGTCTGTGGCAACGGACTCTACACTGAGGATAAGGATGACACTGGATAAAACAGAATTTAGATCTATTGTTTTTTGGGGTCACTAGGAGTTAGGCTCAACTCAATGACATTTAACAACAACTTTTCCAAAGACATCAATTCTTCTTTTGTCATCCTTTTTCACTCTCAAGCTCTCAGATGCAAAGCAAATGACTGAAAAGACTGCAGCCTGAATCTGGAGCCCCTTAATCGTCAAGCTAACATCGTAACTCATTAGGACTTAGGAGAGGCCCCTGAGAGCAGCTTGCCCAACGCACTGTCTCCCGATCCTCTGAGTGCAGAAACCAAGGGTGTTGATTGTGAATCCACATTAACATGAAATAGTTGACAGTTTCAATCTTTTCTCCATCTATCATTCTGCTGCTTATCGGTCCAGTGTGAAGGATTTTTGTCTTCTTGATGTTGAGATCCAATCCCTATTGAAGGGTGTAGTCTTTGATTTTCTGCAGGAAGTGTTTCAAGTCCTCCTCACTTTCAGCAAGCAAGGGTGAGTCATCTGCATACTACTGCAGGGCGTGGATGCGTCTGCCTTCTTAGAGCCCTGCTTCTCTAACGATTTGTTCAGCACACAGATTGATTTTAAACTTTTTAATTAGGCATTCTTATACTGTATAGACTTCGGGTCAGGCAAGACCTTGGCAGCAAAACAAAAGGCTGGGACAATTTTAAGGAGGTATTTTCATTTGCTTTTCCTTGGAGCTCACCCAAGGGAGAAAACATGGGTATGCATCTGTCTTAGTCTGTAATTGTTGGAAGAAGGAAATTCAATATCTAGAGTTACAGGAATATATGTCTAAAAAAAGGGGGGGGGGGCTTAAGTCTTTTCAACAAAATGCTTGAGGACAACCAAACTGGTTCCTTAAAGGAACAAACAAAACCACCTCATGTAACTATGTTGGTGTTGGTGGTATTGTGTGCAGTTGAGTCTGAACCAACTCATAGCTGCCCCTCTAGTGGATTTTCACAGGCTGTAAATCACATGGAAGGAGACAGCCTATCTTTCTCCCCTGAAGCAGTCGGTGGATTCAAACTGCTGATCTCAAGGCCGGCAGAATAATTCCTTACCCACTAGGCCACCAGAGCTCTTCCCCTATTTCATATAAATACAATGCACATAAGATAGAAAGAAAAATCTACTACAAT